GAGTTACACCAGATGTGTCATATAGGAGGAGGCTCTGCTACAAATTGGATGATTAACAGAGCTGGGGAGACAGCAGTGAGGCATTTGGCTGTGGTACGCAGCTCAGTGGAGAGTGATTGGCTTTGAGGGCCGAGGGAACAGATGGGACAGAGACACCGAGCTGGACCAAGAAAAAAAAAAATGAAGCGAACCTCCCTGGTCCTGCACGAAAATATCATTTCCATTTACTGCTCTTTGCTCCTTCTGCCTCCTGAGCAGCGATTCCACATTTTAAATAAAAAAGAGGTGGCCCTGCTTCTGGCAGTGTTGCAGCGGCTCGCTCCTCATAGCAAGTTATCTCCGCCTTTAGCTCCACCCTCTTAACATTAATTATGCAGCTCAATGCAGCACTCCGAATCCCTACTGCAGCTCACCCACACTACAATACTCTGCCGCTTTCTCCCACTCTCTCCATCTCTGTCACACACACAAACCAGAGTCTCTCTCGTTTTCTCTTCACGGCTCCGTTCTCAACCATCCACTATGTATTTACCCTGCAAATGCATGGACTGAGGATGGGACTGCAGCTGTTGTTTATGAGATGTTGCAAGGTTAAATGTTCACTTCAAACACCACACATGCGAAATGCAGGTTAATGAAATGAAAACAATTTATATTTCAGTATAATGAAGCTGATGCCTTAAAGAGAAGATACAAATTGGTTTATGATTATGAGTCTTACGTTACAGTATGATCCAATTTCAGCATATTTTTTTTAAATCATTTTCAAAGCCTGGTGATAATTTCAGTACAAATCAGAATCAAATTCAGTCTGATGTGCGAAGGAAAACACCCTTTACGACTCGGACACGTCTCTGGCAAGGTGTAACTGACTCCACTCCCTCCGAACATGACGAGAGACGCGATCAGACCTTGTCACAGGAAGTAGGGAGAGTCCACGCTTTGCAATCTTAATCAGCCACATCAGCAAAGTGGAGGGAAACCAGGGAACACACAACGAGGGAAGCTCTCACGCTTCAGCCGTCCACACCCCCAGGCGGGCAGTGGGATAGAAACGCAACAACTGTTTATGGAAGCAGAAACAAGCTTCTCCTTCGTTTCCTGGAGCTTTTTTTATATGATTAAGATTTATTTCACATCTGCATGCGTGTGTGTGTGTGTTTGCGTGGGATGGGAGAGATAGTATGGCTTGGCTGTATAATTAATCTAACACAATTTAAGTGTGAGGCTCCCCTGTGTGAGTCATTCAGGCACACTGTAACACTGCCTGACTTTGAGCTGCATAAATTGTGGGCTTTCTTTCACGTGTGCCTGCATCAGATGAAGTTATACCGTGGGATCATTATTTCTTATTCGCCACACAGGGCATCATCAACAAAATGTCAAAGCACGGGGACACAAACACACAAGCTATTTAAGAGCACATGCTGTTTGCCTCCCTATTGTTCTCATTAAGTTCAATAGAGTGTCCGTCCGTGTTTGCAAAGGCGCTACCTCTGGAACAAAGCAAACAGCATGGCAGATGTTCCCAATGAGGAAAACACAGGAAGGTGGGATCATCAGCTGGTATTGAGCAAAGTGAATGTGTTATACGCTTACATAATCCAGGGGGAGTGTGAAGTGAATACTCCCTCTCTCTACATGACAATGCGTTGGCAGGCGCAGGTCGGCTGTTTTTTGTCCTGAGCACCGTGTCGCCATCGCTGCTTCAAAATCTGTGCCATCATGAGACGTCCAGAATGCACGACGGCGGGTCAGGCGCTCTTTGAAAGGTTGCTGTTGATCAGCAGGCAGCCCTCTGCGCTGCTGCAGGGGTCTTTTCAGTGCATGGAACCGGATGGCAAGCAGAGAACACAGCGGGGGCTGGGCACTGCAATGTACTGCAGTGCTCGTAGCTCTGCGATGCACACCCACTCTCTTCCATTCTTGCTCTGCCTCTGACAATCTCTCAATCTCTCGCTCCATCTCTCGCCCATTCCTGTATCACTCCTCTTGCCTTCCTCTCCTCACTTTCTCCTCATTGCTTTTGTCTTTTTCGTGCCAATTCTTCCTCCACGCTCGGAACGTGTCAAACACTGTCTCTTCATTTCAACCACCCTTCCCTTTGCTGCTCACATTTACGATTAGAAAACACATTTAATGAAATATGTACATGTAAAAAAATCCTGTAACCTTTCCCGGAGTGTATGTTAAAATGCCCTTTTCCTTCCTGGCACAAACACCGTCCTTCCCACACTTCACTGTATTTATCAAGGTGTCATTCTAAGATCGACAAGAGGGTCTGCTTACCTCAAACATCTGCAATGTCCTCTATTTTTATCTCTACAACCTACTCAACTCAGAAGCAACACTTTTTCTTTTGGGTTTGGTGAGTTTTCACAGTATCTCCTCCTCTCATCATGACCGTTTTGAGTTTTTGGGATTGTTGCTGACTGTAAATGTCACGGTGAAAGCCATTGCTTCTGCACAATGTTGCCTACAGCATCATTTACAGGGGCACACGTGTCGCACAGCCTGGGACAGAGGGTGTTGTACACCAGGGAGGATGAGCAATGACGAGCCCAACAGCTGCTCACTTCCTCAAAAAAAGGCAAAAATCCTTAGAAAGAGTTTCAGTATAAAACCTACACATTTAAAAACATCGAAAGGGAATATGCATGTAGCACCACCAATGCTTTCCTCGCATTTAGAAGCAAAATATCAAACTGTAAATGCAATACTAGATCACAGAATAAAGCTTAAATCAAAAGTCTGACTGTTTAAATCAGCTTTAAGATCTAATGAGTTAAACCCCCTCCATGCCTTACATTCTGTTTCTATCATAAAGAGGGATACTGGATAATTCTTGGCAACAGCAAGGGGTCTCATTTAGGTTTCCCATTAGAGCTGAGACTTCTGATGATCGCTGTCTGAACGAGTCTCCCAGTATGCTGGCTGCTTCCTGCAGAGACACTTTGGCTGATCACTCTCAACCATGTCATGAAACAAAGCTTTGTGTCACAGCAGGTGTCTGAAATGTATGGACCGCAGCCATTACATATCTTTTTTTACATTTCACCGATTTAACCGATCCAACACTGCTGTCTTTTGCAACACCTCCTTGGTGGTTTTTAAAATGATTAATGAGGAACATAATGAATTACTTGCATACATAAAGCTATTTTAATGATATTATCAAATGGGTGTGAAAAAGGCAGGTGTCGAACTTGGATGTTTGTGTGGCTACAGTCAGTTTCATCCCCCAGCCTGGCGTTTTGAAGTGAAAAGGAAAGTAGAACAAAAGCACAGTGCTGACGCTTCCACCTGGAGCATAAAGTCATGTTACTGAGAGACAAGGACAGTGCAGAGCTTTTCAAAAGACAACCGCTACGAGCTAAGTTTTCAGCATTTCTGCAGAAACACGGCTCTCTTTAAGATGGACAGTGTTCTAGAAAAGGAGAGACACATGAATAATGAAAAGTATTTTCTTCACGTCATCAGCTGGAAGCCAAAGAACAGATGTGCACAGGCAACTGCAATATCAGATGAGGAGTTGGAAATGTGAAAAGCCAGGTGGTTTATTAGGTCACCTGCCAAGACATAGCTAGAAGAATTAGCTTTGCCTTAAACTCAAACCTCTAACCTTCATTTCTTAAACTGATTTGCATGAAACGATTTGAGGGAAGCTCATGTTAGCAGTCTGTGCTCTGTCCATGGTGCTGAAACAGTTAACGTTTCCTCAGCGGCCCTCCCCTCATCCCTGCATGTAACTCAGTGTTAAATAATTGAAACACTATTTAAAACCAGTTACCGGGTTCATCAGAGCTGGATAGGTTCATTTAATTTCATCTACTAGGTGAGGATGAGGATTATTAACCTTAAGTCCATGTAATATGAATACACCGGTACATACTGTACTCTTTATCCTGTCTGGCCCATCGCTATTCAGTGTGCCCACACAAAACACACACACACACCAGGTCCATCCGTTCTTTCCTCCCATTCTGCAGCAGGCCAGTGTTTGCAGGCTTCTTCCAGCAGAGAAAACACACAGTGCCCACTGCTGGACAGTATGAAATCTTCATTCACAAATGATGAAGGTCAGACTTCCAAAAAAAGACAGTGGGATGTAACAAATAAACTGTGAACGCGCCTGAAGAAAGGCGATAATTAATGCACAGTGGAAAAAACACATATGTTATCACCAGACCTTTGCTGTAATCAAACAAAGCTTCACTTTATTTTAGCCGTGCTGTTTGAGCTCGTATCAAAATTATGAAAAGTGTATAAATACCCCAGTAATTGCTCACAGACATGATAGCATTATTTCTTCTCTTTCTTTGCTACACTGTCATCAGTAATCCTTGATCAGCCAATCAGAGAGCCCACTTTCGCTGCAGGTTTAGACTGAAGGAAGTCCCAGAACACCGGATAAACAAAACAAAAACTCATCACCAGGCTCAAAACGCTATCGGGGCCAATTCAATCTGTTATCTAACCACACCGATACGCGGAATACACAATGAGAGCATGCACAACAAAACTAAAATGGGCTCCAGTAGTCTCTTAGTCACTCAGAGCTTATTGGAGCGCACGGGATTCAGTGTGTGAAGGATAAAACTTTACTCTTCTCCCCAAACCAGAGATAAATACACAAGTTTAAGCTGTGATCTTCATCTCAGAGAGGTGGTAGCTGGTTTGGGTTGCTCTGCCTGGATGCTGAGGCAGCTACGCTCAGGGATGTAATGGGATACTGCAGCACTAGAGAACCGTGTGCACAGAAACTTGCCTGGAAGCATCAGGGAGTCCCGCACTAACCTTCCCCCTTCTCTCATCTCCCTCTGCTCTTTTTGACAAGTATAACATAAGAGATCATTATAAGTACCAATCCACATGTATATCTAAAAATTATAACATGTGAGAGACTAAAAGAGCCAAACACCAACTAAAAAAAGCAAATAACTTCTTAAGTGTTAAAACCCATCATGCCTGAATAGTAGGAGGAGAATGTTGCTGCTTACCTTCTAAGCAGGTCGCTCTTTCCTGGACAGCACGCTCTTCCCTTTCTCCACAGGCTCGGAGACACTTTGAGATAGAGAGAAAAATAATCAATCTCCTCTTACTTTCTCTTATTTCCAGTTTCAGAATGAATAAGTCAGGAGTCTAACACAGCCCCATGGACACACCTTTACTCTGTCCTCCTGTAAACTCTGCCACATACACACACACAGACACCCATTCAAATGTACCCCAGGACCGGAGTACCCAAATTGATAAAGATCTGTTCAGGGGAGGGATAAAAACTACACACACTCACACACTGCAGTTTTTTTTCTTCCCTTTCCTCTTGCCCACTCGCTCTGCTGCGTTCCCCTCCTGTCTTTGCCTAGCACTGCCTCCTGATTGGCTAAACTGCTCTTCAATAACATAAGCTCTCTTCTTTAATTGGAAGAGGGCCAGTTATGTGGTGCACCAGAAACCATCCTCCCCAGCTCATCTCTCTCTCTCTCTCTCTTTTTTCCCCTAAGTACCTGTGAAGAAGAATGCTGAGCTCTGCAATTTCAAACGCATCGAGCAAAAAAAAAAAAAAAAAAAAAAAAAAAGGAATGGAGGACAGAGGGAGGAGGGAAGCAGGGGAGGTGGGGGAGGACTATGTGGGAGAGAGAATGGCAATGAGTGGGGGAAAGCATCGGAGGTGAATCAGTGGACCGCAGTGGGACAAGCAGAAGAAGCTGCATTGGGAACAAAGAGACAAGGGGGCGGCTATTAGGTGGAGTGAGGGCAGATTTGGATGCATTTTGTGCACCAGCCGCAGCATGTTGAGGTGTGACTGCAGGTCAGATGAAAGGCGATTTCCCCTGCACTCACTGCAGCGTAGCTCGGTGGCTCTGCTGCAGTGAGGAGTCTAATTGCCAGGCATGAAGGGGGATGGGAAGGATGGAGGAGGAGGAGGAGGAGGAGGAGGAGAGAGGGGGGTTGGTTGCAGTGATGCTGAAGTACAGTCTTCCAGCCAGCCTGGATATACAGGGAAGAAAATGGGCAGGCAGCCGCAGTGGTTAATGCCTTTTCCTCATGAATTATTCAAAGTGCCCCAAAGGAGAGTGGGAGGGTCACAGACAGCAAACTGCTGAGCCTGTTCACTGTCTCGATGCTGCTGAGGTTTATGATAATTACACATTATACAAGAGCTGAAGTGCACACTCTAACATGGTCACATGAAGCCCCCCCCCCTTTAACTCAGATTATTTAATCCTACTATTTTAATAAATCACCTGGATTGGAGATGGTGCGGTATCCCCTCCCTGGCATCCACTTTAGTTTGGTGACGTGTTAAAAGGATTTCTGGTCCTGGAGAAAATGGATGAGAGGGATTGACTTTGTGGTGTCAGTCTCCCTGCCACTCCATCTTTTAACTCACATCTGGTCCATCCACCATGTCCCGGCTGCATTAAAGTACAATACCCAATTAGATAGATCAATAATGGACCATTCAATACCCGCAACCATCTGCAGATGCTTCAATGAGCACTCTAAAAGTTATATGACGCCCAGACAGAAATGCAAATACACCGTTTGCTAAGTCAACAACATAATTGCCTGGTGGCTGAATGGGCAGACAAAGAGATATTTTAAGATCCTGCTGTGAAAGACAATTTGTAATAATAAACCAGAAAAGACGTTGATAAAACTGTGTGAACAAGTTTTTAAATAGCTGGAAACTTGTATTTTGGTGTACAGGGGAATATTTATTTCAATATAAAAGTGCTTGATCTAAATAATTACAATAAACATTTCCATCAATCATCTGCGCATGTTTTCCTTCATCACTGTGGTCTCTGCTTTCACTGGGAGGCTGTAGACTGTGATGGAGATGTTTGTGTGTTTGAACACCTGCTCCAGGATCTCTGACACTCTCCTCCACTCCAGTCGATCCAGGCCACAGCCAATACTGTGGATCAGAGGTGAAAAACACAGTTTAACTGGAACAGTCACAGAAACAACACTTATTCAAATAAATTAATTGAGAAAATTGACCAATTACAAATGAATGACAAACCGAGGCATTGATATTCTCGTCACTCTGTTCTTCACACAGTGTGACTTCATGTCCTCCAGGCTCAGGGTCAGGCTGTCATAGGTGGGTTTTTGGTTGAACTTTTTCTTTGTGATCTGCAATAAAATAACAGGGATTACTATATACGTATACACAATAATGTATTTTCAACAAGCCTTAATTTTTCCAGGGGTGTATCAGTAACCACAGAAATAGCATTAACTCTTTACCAAGTAGTAGACGAAACGTCTGTCTCTCTTCAGCACAGCACACTGTCCTGTCACCTTCTCTGTTTGGATAAATACAATAAAAAACATAAAACACAAATCACAAACATAAGTGGCTCTAAATCTTCAACACCAATGCCTTGGTGAGGGGGAAACATTATAAACTAACACAGCGCAGGAGAAAACTGTTTCAACCCACAGATGTTTGTTATAAAATCTAATGGAGATTTTGTCAGCATGAGTTTCACATAAATGTGAACTTAATGAAGCATAAGACATCAAGAAAATTTTTCCTGTTGTCACGGCTGGTGGTAGAAGCAAACAGAGCCAAGTGCAAACACAAAGAAAAACTGAAGTTACGATGAACGCTGAAAAAGACAGAAGGGAAGCAAAACACTACTAAGACGTAACACGATAAAAGTCCACAGAATAAAGAGCACAAAGGGACACGAACTGACAACTGGTCTGAAAGCACGGCGACAAATTATGAAAATTATGGAAGTGATGTCAGAGAAGCAGATTGGAAACACAACCAGGGCTGAGACAGGAATAATTATAAGTGTGATGTGATGGTGAAACATCCAGCTCCTGCACTCAGAACACAGAACTGTGCAAACGTTTTAGGAGCTCACTACTACAAATCATTAATGTGATTTCTATATTACTTTTTTTATCTAGTAACATTGTTACAAAGTGCTTAACAAGAACTATTACCAAAGATATAAAAACCCAGACAAGACAGATGAGTAAGAGAACCTTTAAAAATTGCAAAATTAACTAATAAAATGTGGCATAACCAAATATATATATAGGCTGGATCGAGCACCTGAGGTCGTAATACGTAATGAGAGTGTGTTTTCTTCTCTCGTCTATCCAGGTTCCACCCTTCTCCTCCCTGCTCTGCTCCAAGTGGTGGTTCATGCTTGTGCCAGAATTGTTATCAAGTACTGGAGCTTGAAAGCTTTTGGAGAACCTACAATTTGTCTGCGTGTGCTGAGTGACTGTGATCAACAGGTTACTCCCTTTGTTGGGAGGCTGAATATTGTTCTCTAACTTTGGTTTAACTTGAGCTATGTTACATTGAATTTATTTGTCATGTCAGTTGCTCTTTTCACTTTTTGTTTTTGTTCTGCGATATTGTTAATAAATTCTGTTTTGTGGGGAAAAAAATGTTTCCCCTTTCTTCCTTCCCCTTGGACATATTTCCCGTGTTACTCCCTTTATCCCCTGGGCATATTTTGGTGATGTGATGTAAGATAAGATAAGATAAAGTAAGATAAGATAATACTTTATTAGTCCCACAGTGGGGAATTCGCAACATTACAACAGCAAGAGGGTATCAAACATAGACATTGGTAAAGTAATAAGTAGCATGCAAAACCTATAAATGTGGGAAATATATGAAATACACACAATTATTAACAGAATATGTATTGTGTGAACATATGAACAGTGAAAGAGATTGCACATGAGACATGTGTTCACAGATTTTCACAGACAAAGATGTATATTGCACAATTTAAAGGTGAAAAACCTGAGTCCTTCGGAGACTGACTGATCTAAGCTGCCCAGTGATGATGGTGTCCTGCAGGGGGTGGGACTGACTGTCCATTAGACAGCTTTGTCACCATCCTCCTCAGTCCCACCACCTCCACTGGGTCAAGCAGGTATCCCAGGACCGAGCTGGCCCTCCGGAATCAATTTATCCAGTCTCTGCCTGCAGCTGAAATGCTGCTGCCCCAGGAAACTATTACTAAGATAGTCCAGAACAATTTATTATTGTTTTATTTATTTTTATTATTTTCATTCATTCATTCTTATTTATTTCGACAAATTAGACAAACAAGTGAAAAAAATATAAACAGGAAAAAGTTACATTTATACAATGATAATTGTTATATGTTTGATCATATATTTATTATTTATTGTTATTTATTATATTTGAATTTATTTAATCTCACCCCTTCTCCATAAGTCATTAATTAATAATTATCTTATATTAAACCAGCTTCCTATATATCTATAAATATATTGATTTCCTGTACTCTATATTGTCTATAATAAATACGATAGAAATAATGTAATTTACACATATATACAAACTCTTACACCTGCATACCCAAATATAAAATCAAATATAAACACAATTTGCATTGATATTTATAGCAAAAAATGCAGGAAGACAAACTAAGGAACAATAAATATTATGTGACCGAATACTAATAATCCCCTCTTCATCCCTGGTGATCAACTAATCTTTGTACTTTAGTTAAACTGGGGTTTTCCAGCGAAAGCAGCAGGAAGCCAGTCAGTGTCCTGGTCTGAGGATGTCAACAGTGTTTGTGCAGATGAAGGTTTGATAAAAGTCTGACTCACTCTGCTGCTTTAACTCGTCTTCTCCTCTGAACCTGCGCTTGAACAGGACAGATATCCCAGCTCCCATGTGACAGTCCTCGCTGACGCAGTGAACCAGAGCCTCGTCCTCACAGCTGGAGAACAGGTTCCCCGTCACATAGCGGAGGCTGCAGCCGGCTGCCGCACACTGACCGACAGGGGGCAGCACCGCACCCTGAGATTAAAGCCCGTTAACAACACACACACGTGTAACACCTGCACCGGAAGTTAGCTGTTCTCTATGAGCTCTGATCTTGTACCTTCATTTCCTCGGTGGCAGCTGGTTCCTGAGGCGCAGACCACATCGTCCCCGGTGAGAATGAACTTGTTGTGAGGCGAGACGTTTATTTACGAGCGGCGACAATTCAACGTCTGATAGGAAACTTCAAAACTAGCTTAACATGCGTCAGTAACGAGCCTCGGTATCAACACAGACTGGATGATAAGAAATGTCTGACAGAATAAAACTGATATAAAGATACGAAATGAGACTTACGATGTTTTGTCGCTTCTCCTGCTTCATCTAGTTCTTCTTCTAGTGCTTCATCTGCTGCTGCTGCTTCTTCTGTCGCTTTTAAGGCGCATTACCGCCACCTTCAGCTCCGGATCATTAAATAAACTCACAATCGAAATCCCTTCAAATATAATAATTATATCATATAATTATACTTTATCCTCAATCCTACTTTACACCCTACTCTTACTATAAACATCTGTCACCCTACCTTCTGTTCCTATTGACTGTGACAGGAATAGATGTGGAAAAAAACCCTGTATCCCTTAAACACCTTACTATTATCCTCACCTGTTCTCTGTCGTCCATACTCACTCTTCCTGAAACCTTTTGGACCAAATGTAATATCTAAAGAAAGTAACCGTACAGTGTGAATTTGGTATTTATTTAGATACTGAAACGTTTTTAAAGCTGCATTTGTTTAATTGTCTATTAGATTTCCATTGAGGTAAATGTTGTGCTGGGCTATGATGGAAATAAGGATGAGATCCTCAAACTCAGTGTAGCAGTGACACATGAAGGTATAAATAATTTTGCCCTGACAGGTTCAACAAAACTGAAATAAATGACAGAGTTTACATCCGACAAAGTCCTGACAAGATATATAATCATCGTTTAAAAATGACAACAACTGTGTAGAGTGTGTCGAGGGGTTCAGAATATTTATTGAACTTGTGACAGAAAACAAAAAAAGACAATAGTGTGTATCTTATGAATGCAACATCTAACACAGACGGAGATCTACACCATTGATAAATGAATTTGAGACTGCTGCTTAGTTGTATCTTCACTAAATGTGAAACCAAAATGATGAAGCAGATTAAGCACAGGCCAGGTACAGCAGTCCTTGCTGCAGCCTCAGAAGTTCGCACTGCGTCTCCTCTCGTTCATCCAGTCCCCAGGGTTGACGTCCATTTGCAGCATCTTCATCACCCACTTGTCCCTTCGTGCTCCATCGATGAACTCATCCAGTGAGAGCTCCCCTAAGTGATGAGGGATGGTTAGTCTCTGGGTTTATTTCACCACACAATTCTCCTTTCATCAAACAACAGACATTAACACCCCACAAAGCCATTACAGCAGCCCAACTCTGCCCTTTTAAATCATCCATGCAGCGTTTTAAGCTGTCGGAAAACTAGGGAAAACACTCACCATCTCCATTTTCATCAACCAGCTCAAATATCCGGTCAACCACTTGGTCCGGGCTCAGCAGATTGCATTCTTCATCCAGCTGACCATGGCAAGCTTTCTTCAGTCGATAGATAGACTGAGAGTGATATGAGAAGGATGTGAGTAATACTCTTGCATGCTCGCTGATCTTGAAATATTAATTTCAATGTCTTGGACACCTTAAATATCAAAAGGTGCATATAGTGAGGATAAATAGTAAATATTACCTCCACAATTTCAAGAAGCTCTGTTTTGTCAATGCATCCGCTTCCATCTTTATCGTACATTTTGAATGTCCATTTAAGCTTATGTTCCAGTTTACCCCTCAGGACCAAGTTCAAGGCTGCAACATACTCCAGGAAATCAATGGTGTTGTCCTGCAGTGGACATGAAGGAAAAACATTCAACTGCTGTGAAGAGACACCTGGACACGATCTCTGAGTTTCACTTTGACAGACAAAATGTTTGTATTGTAAAGTACTTAATGGAATATACTCAGTAAAAAACACAAAATAAATGGGGATGCAACTAAAATGTATTTTCATGATCGATTAATATTTATAATACAATAATTGATCATTTTTGTCTCCGTGAATTGTTTAGTGTATCATCTGTCAGAAATATGTAATTGTTCTAATATATTATTTAACAGGACCCAGATTTCTTTTTATAATAGACTGCCAAGAAAAACTGTTAATATTTCAAAAGCTTTTTGCTTAAAAAGAAATACTCGACCCATCAACTATCAAAACTGATGCTTATTTTTGTCTATTAGAAATAAATAATCAATAAACTGCTGTTATGACAAATGCTTCCAATCATTGAATCTTGACTATTACCATGATAAGTGTGTCACATACTGAAGTGAAGAGTCCTTTACTTCCACACAGCAGAAGCTTGTACTTACTCCGTTCTTGTCAAAGGCTCGAAACATGTTTTCGATGTAATCTGCAGCCTCCTTGTTCTCAGTGACGCCAAAAAAGCTCTTGAACTCGTGCCTGAAGAGAGTCCCACTCGGACACTCCACAACAAACTTCTTGTACCATTCCTGCAGCTCTGCCACGTCAATTTCCTTGTCGGGGTCACTTTCCTCACTCAGGCGCTGACCCATAGTGGAGATGATATTTCTCAGGCACCTCTACAGACTGAAATGATTTCTCACATTACATGAAACTATAAGACTTGTTGAAACTCTTTGTTAGCTTCTCTCTCTACATTACAAAATCTATAAATCTCAGTCCTCGGTTACTGAGACAGGTGCTGCAACTAAATGTGTTGCAAATCGGCAAAAACCAAAGTGATCAAAATGGCATGAAAGTCCATACAGGCTGAATAATTATTAGGCTGTCTCTTCATATCCTCTCTGAGAGTGAGGATGACACACAGGATCACATGATAAGGGATTAGAAATGGAAATAGAAACGTGTCTTAATCAATTAGTTGGCAGACAGATAATGACTGGATTTCCCTGTGCCCCTCCCTCTATCTCTACTAAATAGTGAATGTCCTGTATTTTTCCTTTATAAAAAACAATCTCTTCTATATTTTATACAGCATCACAGTGCATCCACCAAGGCTCAACAGTCCTCTTAGACTCAATTAAGCTGCACCAAATTTCCCACACTTAAACATATCAGTCCCCTATAATATGCCTGATTTATATATGCCTGATTTGTCCTCATTCATCAGATCCATGGATTACTTCCTGGGAAAACAGTGAAAATGTAAAATGCCTCAATGTTAAAGAAAGAGAAAAAAAATGTTGACGGATGAAAACATAACCTTGTTGGCAGAGGTAGCTAAAGATTAAAATGTGTATAAGTCAAACTTAATGTCAGATGGGTTCATGTGTGACTGTGTAAGCAGCATAAAAACACAGACTTGAGTCTATGTGGTGGAAATTACATGAATTTACTCAGGATTGAGTCAGATATGAGGGGAAGCTCACTGTGATCAGGCTTTCTTAATTCACACGAGACCAGGTAACCACGGTTACTTGTTATCTGATGAACTCAATATGTTGTTGAAACCCAAGCACATACCTTTCCACAGGAGGTGCATTATGGGAAATGTAGGATCAAAGTTTTTTTTTTTTTTAAGTGTTTCACAAAAACTAACCCAATGTCAGATGCTGCTGCTTAGATTTTTTAAAAATCTTTTCAAAAATTGCATGAAACTTGAAACTGTATAATCGTTCAGTGGACGTGACTTTCTGAGCAGGATGATGAATCACACAGACCTGGTGTATAGTTATGTCTGAAAGCTTTGACCTTTAGGCTCCAGGCTATTTAAGGATAACCTGATTACTGTTTACATGGCGGCTCCAGTCTCACCCAAGTCTCTAATGAATGGTGCTGTTGTTAAATGCACTGATGATGGACGTTCAGTTACAACCAACACACACAGACATTTTTCTACAGCAAGCCGGGGGCCATCATCTGTTTTTAAATAGAACAGCAGTGTCACTGTTCAAGGTAACAAACAGAAGCCATTGTTTACAGATGAAAGCTTGGCCTGGCCCAGGATATCTGCTGACAACAGGGACAATGATAATCTTAGCTTAGAGGTGTCAAGGCCATGTTATCCTCGCATGATTAAAATGATTCACATCTTCTATTCTTACACAAGATGCAGCCATCACTGTTACTTCCTCTACTTTTTTTTTAGCTCCATAAAAGACAAATGTTCAAAAGCAAGCCTGCTTACATACCCAAGAGGTCATTTACTGTCCCTACATTGTTCTGCAGTTTTTTTAGATGGATTTGCAACTCAGTATTTCCATAACCTTTCAGCATAACTTAAAACGAGATCTGGGACAAATCTAGATTCCTGCAGTTGCTCCAGTGCCTTGTTTGCAGCCTTGGGGAATTCTGGCCTTGACCAATCACAGGGCAGTTCAGAGAGAGGGCGCTCGTGTTGGCTGTTCTAAGCAGCTGCGTGTACACATCCCTTCAGTGAAAAGCCTGACCTGAATCAATGGCGGAAAATCTTACAAGAACGGTCACTAATCCAGAAGAAGCAACACCTGCCAAAACAACCTTAAAACAGAAAACCTGAATTGGTCCAAAAGAAAGTCCCACAATAAACGCAGTGAAACGTGCAGGGTTCCTCTGTGCTCGTATAAAGCCTGTGTATCTTCTCCTGTTTGTCTGGTGGGAGATTCTCAGGACAGGGAGCCTCCTTCCCAAAACCTTAGTATTGAAGGTCCTGAGGTGGAGACTCAACAATCAACTCTTTTTCTAACAGTCCCACCTACTGCAGCTTTAATATGAACTGAGCAAACTTCACTTCAATTTTTTTAGCATTTATTGCTTTCCATGAATACTATGATACAAGCTCAAGCATTCAACTTCCAGCCATTATCAGTTTTACGAAGGCAGTGGACACAAGTATTACAAGTCTACAAAATTGATTTACAGATATGTACTGTAGAAATCCTTGCTATCAAAAGGGAACAGCTGTACAACAGAGTTATGACAGAAAGTGTAAACGTACCGTGTGTTCTGGTGTTTGATGCGGAGATGGCTACACTTGTGCCAAACCTTGAAGCTATCTAACCAAACTGGTGACGACTGGCAATATGGTGTGTTAACTTTGGCTTCATGAAGGAACAAAGCCAAACTGTGATATTTTCAAAAGGTTAATGTTAACTAATGTAACGTACTTTTAAAAAGTCAATTATTTTATGGTATGTGCTTCATTTTTTGCTTTGCATTCTTAATGGCAGTTTCCTCGTTCACCTGGAGAGAGAGACATGTTGATTGAATACAACTCAAACTGTCAGACACACCCTCTTGGAAATACATGATGAATAATGAATAATGGAATTAGGGGAATACATTAGTTATCAAGATTAAATTAAAATGCTCAGAAAAAAAAAAAAAAAAAAAAAAAAAAAATCAGGAAAAAAAGATTAGAAAAACTTGTAATCAACAGTTAAAAAGCAGTCTCCATATTCTTTGAATCAATTCCTTCTAGTCTAATGACCGGGCGATGTTTAGCTCTGAGCAGGCAAAACTGAAGAGGACAAAAGATCCTTCAGTGAGGAATCTCCAGGTCACACCGCTCCTGGTCCTGAAGAATAAAGGTCCACAGTGCTACAGATATACCATTGGTGTGGTATCATACAGTGTAAAATAACAAGTCAGTTGGCAGACTGGGTTTCAGACTAGTCGTGCTGTTCCCCCGGCTCTATTGCAGTGTCTTTGCTGTATGAATTGTCAGCATCGCCCTCTGTTGACAAGTCAGGTGAACTACTAGCAGAAGAAGGGACCTCCTTGTTGCTGGCCGAGTCCTCTCCATCACAGACACCGCTGCTACTCTCCGCATTGTCCTGTTCAAAGCTTGTGCTCTCCTCTGATGGAGCGGGCGGCTCAGGTTCGTCCACAGTGCTTTCATCCTCCTTAGTGTGAACATCTCCTGTCTCAGATGAGCTTCCTTCCCTTTTAGAGGATTCTGTCCTTGTGCTTACAGGCTCTGAAGAACAAAGTGGAAGAATTGCGCTGTTAGATTCTGAGAAAATGTTGATCTGTGGGTTTTAATAGTCATTTTAAGGATTTTTTGAATTTGAAGCAGAATGTGTGAGTTGAAACATCAGTGTTAGGTGATGAGGGTAACATTTAATTCTGATAAAGCTGCTTATTATGCTGTGGTAGGAAAATATCACTGTAAGAGATAAGAAGCAACTAAAGAGATAAACTTAAATATCACAGTTGGTGTAAAGCTGGATTTACTGTTGACTAAAGGACGTTTTAAGAGTCCCACAGTTTTTGTCGGGTTTTAATTTATACACCACTTAAGTTAATGTTGTCATTAGTCTACAAGTGATGATACTGAAGATACAATGAACCTTGAACTCCACTGAAAAGGAGACCACCATTGTTCTAATTACATTCAGATGTGCATACAAATTGGGAGGTGCTTTGCTCTTTAAAATCTTGATTCAGCTTCCTTTGCATTGTCTCATGCAAACTGCAGAAACTTGAAGTCCCCATGTGATGTCTCCATGTCTGCTGTAGCCCCAATATGAAGTTAAATGTTTTAATATGTAGCCTCTGTCATAACCTAAGAGCCAACGGCTTTGGTATGACCCCTTAATAGCACTTAGTGACCTCCTTCACTTCTTGTTGCACGTCATGAATACCCTTAAGCAGAAAGTCCAGAATAAGCCCCTTGATCTAAATTTATACAATTAACAGCGACAAGACCGCAAAGACACTCAAGTTCTTCAGTTCTTGGAGAGTGATAAAGAACACAACCTGCAGAAGACTTCGCCACAGGGCTTATCAGAATGAGAATAAACACTAGTTTGTTTCATGCAAACTAAAATCATAAGCCTGAGTCTGACTTGTTTTATTACATAAGTGTAAAACTGCTATAAAACTGTACAACAGTGTTGTGCGTGTATGCAGAGGGTTAGGTTAGCTTAGAGATTTGCCCAGGGAAAGAGCTAGGGTGACTGTTTGGCATCTGGGCAGCAGCAGCCCCCCCGGCCTTTACACTTTTGTAAGGGTGCAACTAAACTACTAGATGTTAATGGTTAGACAACTACCCATTAACACTCAGCACATATCCACAGTTTTGCTGCTGTTAAGTTTTAATACTTAAACCAAAGTGTGCATGAGTTCACACTTACTGTGATCACAAGTTGTGTCACAAGACGTTCCACTTTGGTTATCTTGACCACAGGACACTTCTAAAGATTCTGGCATCTCTGACAAGCTCTCCGACTCTTGACGACAAGAGGACTCTTTTTTTCCATCTTCTGTTTCCTCCTCTTCCTTTTCATCAAACTTGAGCCTCTTGACCTCTTGCCTGTCAGCATCAGAATCCTCCTCCTCCTCGAGGTGTTTGTTTTTTGTCCCACTGTTTGGTGTTATTTCAGCCTCTGATAGCGAGGGATCACTGCAGCAATGACAGAAATGCAAGAAATCGGTTCATCGACATTTGAACCAATGTGACGGAAACAGTGCCACGTCTGTTCTCGTTACTTTCAATTACCTCATGTGTTGCTCCTCCACCTCCTCTGTGGTTGGCTCTGGCTCTTTGCCCACTGGACAGTCAGGAAGCCCATTGGTGGAGAGCGAAGTTGACAATGACAACTTTGGTCTGTTGAGTGGTTTTGGTGTGGCTGGTCCATTTACATTTCGACTGCAAGAAAAGAAAAAGAAAAATTTTCATAAAGTCATAGCAGCTGATCGGCAACACTACTAAGAGTCAAATTAACAAGGAAGACTGATCTGTCGTCAGTATGGTCTGATTGTCTGTTGGTTATCTGCTCTAAATTAAAATAATGATGTGCATGAGGCAAGTTTCAATTTGTGGAAGTCAATCCCTCACCAGTATGTTGCTCCTACCTGTCTGAATATAGAGTCGAGTTACCAGGAAACATTACTCCATTCATTCTGTTTACACTGGACGCACCGTTTTTCCTTCAAAGAAGCACAAAGGCACAAAAACAACAGCTCTTAAGTTTAACTTTGTGTGACAACATAAGCAAGTTCAAGGGAGCTGTAAATGTGCATGAGTAGCAGGAATACTGTGTTCATCAGTGCACTTACTCTGACGTGGGATACACACAGCTGACAACCCTTACATTCTGAAACACATAAATAACAATTTATAATTAAGAATCATTTTTTATAGCCACTGGAGATTTGTTAAATCAGTAATCACAAGTATGTCTTATCTTGAGTGAAAACACATTTTATTAATTTCTGTGGACAAAGTAGTGTGGTGTCATACTGACCTTCTCCAAACCCCTGAGAAACTTGTCTGTTCCTGTGTAGTTTCTATTGGGGTCCATCAGCAGTTCACACAGACGCTGGATGGTGAATGGGATTCTAGAATATTTAGCAAGGAATAAATTTGAGATTAGACACACACAGCCATACAACACTGCTTTGAGAAATTGCCAAAGCAGGATGCATTAGAGCAAAGAGAGGGAAAAAACTGTCTGACGCATACCACTTGGTGCTATCTGGCATTGACATGCGTCTTGTGCGGTCTGATCACAAGGGGACAGCTCTAAGAAAAGGTGTGAATACACCCAAGACACTCTGGGTGGCATTGAGATCCAGTTCCCCAGGCAACATTTAGTCCTCGGCCACACTGAAGGAACGCCTACTCAAGTGGCATCCTCTGTTTAAGTCCATTTACGTATCAATTCATAGTTACCCATACTATTCAGCTGGTTGTCATATCATGTTAGCTGGCCTTGTCCACAAGGTCTGAAAATATTGACAAGTCCATAGACATATTTTACAAGTGTGTCAAACATCTTAGACAATTTGGTTTGACTGGAATACAGCAAGAACAATCTACAGAAAACTAGTAGAACTAGTAGATTTTACTGCATTTAAAAATTACATTTTAAGTAGCTGTAGAAAAAAACAACTATCCCGGTCAATGATGAATAAATTACACCACAGAAAATTTCAGATGTGATTTTAATTCCATGATATATGAATTTGTTTTTTGTATATGTTTCATTCACTCCTAAATATCTCCTTGTGGCCATGTCTTAATTCAGTTGATAACAACACTAATAAGGACATGGAGAGGCGTTGCATTTGTGTAATTGAACTTCCTTATCACGTAATTTAATACATGAACTTGTGTATTTTGTTAGTAAAAGTGAGTTATTATTAGATTTACTCACCCATTGTAGCCATCCACTATTTTCAAGATCCTCGTCTTCATCTCTTCAAAGGGAACATACTCGACATTGGGATTATGTGAGGCTCTCTGTTCTGGTGTTGAAGCCTGGAAATCATCCATGACTTTCTCCAACTTAAACATGAAGTACTGTTTTAACTGTGACCACAGGATCCTGGAAGGTGTTGGAAAAGCAAGTAGATATGTCAGCCACACAAAAGAATAAAAAGTCTTGGAACACATTTTTGACAAGTAGATTTCAGTCAGACTCAGTCTGTCATCACTCACAGTGGCTGTCCTGTCTTGGCGACATGACACAGGAACTGCTCTAGTACAGGACAGGTCTCTTTCTTCGCTTTCTTCTCAAAATCTGCAATTACAAATACCCACGTGAAAAAAATGAAAAATCTGGTACACATAGTACACGAATCTGACATGAACCTAAACACACATGATCAACCCGTTATAGTATGAAAATACCTTTAGTACACTAGTATTTTTTTCTGTATTTACAACCGTATACATCAATAACTCCAAACTAATCAATCAGAATGACCAAGACACAGTTGAGTGGCAAAATAACTGATGTAGGAATTTAACAATTATTATAGATAGATACTTTTTTTGTAATTGTAGACAGAAGTAGTGGCAGTTATTACTTTAGGCCTGATAATACTCACACAAAAAATCAGGCTATCAAAAAGCCTCCTGCAGGACAAGTGACAGAAAAACAATCCTGCTTTCAGTTTATAGATGAACAGTAAAACATCTCCTGACAGTCAGCTATTGACAGTGACCCTGAAGAAATGATCTTAATAGAACAGGAAATAGTCCATGTAACTGAGCATAGCAGAGAACAAAGAGATCTAAACTTATTTATTATTTGCGTTGATTTATTGACACTGACATTGCATTTCTCTCCGTGCTTTCCAGCTGAACATAACAATTCCTATTGATATAATCTATCAATGAACATGACCTGGATCCTTGTATGGGTTAGTGAACAGGTCTTAGGGCCTCAGAGTTCAGGGGGTTTCAGGACCAAAGCCTCTGTAAGAAGTGACTGGCAACACTTCTTGTTTTTAAAGTGCTCAGTTAAAAGAATACAGACATGAAATGATTTAAAAAATACATCGTATTTGTTAATTCATGTATTTTTTAACCAGAAGTCACCATTGGCCATTAGGAGCCGATGAGCAAGAATTTTAACTTTTTATTATGAATTATGACAAGAATCATGCAGGAAACTCAAATTAGGTTGAAGACCGTATTAGACTTTATGAGGGAACTGAAGACACTCCTCAATAACAATACTTCAAGCTAACATTGCTACAACATAAGACCATTCAGGACTGTGAAATTTGAATTCAATAAAAGTGAATATCTTTGAAAACCCATTGTGGGAGACATGCAGACACTCTGTCAAACACCAATCTCAGTCTACAACATGGAAAGTTACAGTGAAAGTTAGCAAGTTAGCATGTTTACGGTGTCGTTACCCAGCAACCTGTTTACATAACCGCGTCAGTGGGAGAAAGAGGATAAGCTCGTTTTTAATTTAAAATAACAATATGACCAAGTTACTTCTTGTGTAAGGTGTTATCGCTGTGCTAGCCAACATTACGCCAGGCAGAATGACACCAGTGTGCCTCTTCTAAACGCCACTCGATGATGCTAAGCTAAGCTACGTAGTTAGCAAAAGACATTACAGAGGTTTTCACACCAAAACAAACGTGAAACACATACGCTGACTACGAATCGCTCGCGCGGATACGCGTTAGCATCACCTTGAAACGCTTCCAGCAACGCGTCGACGTCCATTTCTGTGTCCAGTCCCTGGCAGGAAGTACTGGCTAGCTAGCAGTAGCACCAGGTAGCTAGCTAGCTAACGAGCAGAGCTAGCGGCCGCTGCGCACGCGCACCGTTACGTATGCACACTTGCGGAAGTTGCGTTTATTCAGAAATCAACACAAAAAAAAAACCACCTCGTAACCACCAGGACGGAAGTGTTGGACGTTCTCACGCTGCACAACAAGTGGTTTAGTCAAAGTGAGTGTGGAGGTCGCAGGGTCGCAGGCTGTCAGCGGGCTGCGTCGCTTTTCTCCCCCCCCCGTTGTTGTGACGGCGCAAACCGGCGGAGCGACCAATGAGTCAGCAGCTGATCTGGGTTCACTTTACCTAACCAGCCCACTGAGAGGAAACGGTGGGACGCATCTCCATTAAGAGGTCCGCTTCGTTTTATTTCTGCAGAGCGGTTCTGGTTCCTCCAGAGGCGACGCAAACAATGGCAGTTCCCGTAGCTGCGTTACCGCTGAGCGCCTCGTCCAGCCCGGGTCTGCTGGAGCACAACATCCACATCAGCGACATGGATCTCGGGAGGATTCCAGGCGACAGTGACATCGACAACCTGCCTTTACACTCGCCGTGGACCTTCTGGCTCGACAGGTAACAACACTGCTCTCTCTTCCTCCATCTTCCAGTCAAGGGGGATGCACCTTTTTCTAATGGGAACAAAGAAAGCAGAGGATCAGGGCCCGAGGGTGAAGAAGCAGCTGTAACCCAGATCTGGTGTTTAATGGTGTTTTAACAGAGACACAGCTATTGTCTGTTGTAATAACACACATATAAAATGATAGAAGTGCCTGTTGTTGTATTTGATGCAGCTTTTCAGCCTGCTTGTTTTTTCCGTGACCTACATACCCAAGTCCTTCACTTAGCAGTCTCTTAAAATAAACACAAGCACGTAATTTTGACCAACTGGCTCCAACATAATAACACAACTGGATTTCACACAAGGTCGTTTAGAGTGTATCTATCTGCCTTCACTTGTATTACAGCAGCACAGGCTGTACAGTTATAAAAACCTGTTGATCCACTGCTCATGTGCCTGTTCTCAAAGATCATTATTTTAAAACCCGGCATTATTAGAAACACAGCTCCCAATTTAGCATTCCCAGCTTTGCACAAGATTGACACAGCAGAATGCAACAGACAGTTAGCATGAGCGTCATCAACCAGACGCTGCTGCGATCAAATGGGGTCAGAGTTGTTTACTGTTTACTGGCTTATTTGTCATCTGATCCCCCCCCCAAAAAAAAAACCTGCCTGCTCATGGGCCTCTGACCTGAAACGTGTCTGGTCAGAGTTTGTGAGATCTTCACAAGCTTGTAGATTCAAATAATCATTAGACTCTGATTAAATGTCTGTGTTAGTCAAAGTCAACTTTATTGTCATTTCTGCCATATGTACACTCGGACATAGACGGGACTGAAATGCTGTTTCTTATAAGCAGACAGAACATTTAAGAACGCAAGTACTCAAAACAAAGTTAGCATAACATTAGTGCACACATAGTATGCAGTCATACGACACACAGTGGACAGGATGACAATAGGTCAAACCAGAATAGTGCAAAAATGGATTGAGAGTCTCTTTGTTTTCAGATCTCTACCAGGAACAACAGCTGCTGAGTGTGAATCAAACTTGAAGAAAATCTACACCGTGGAGAGTGTCCAGGTGAGATTCTTTTTAAAACACGGCTGCAGCTGGAGCGTGGTGTCACACGTTACTACTTTTCAGTAGCAAATTTCTTTATTCATGCACAAATCAAGATGTTGAGATGTTTATCTTCACACAGCTGAGTTGTTTGTTTTCCTCCCAAGTGCACTGAGGCCAAACCAACATGGTGTCGGAAGCCTTAAATAAAACCGTCTTATCAGGAGACACTGAATGCTTTGTGTTTCACTGATGACTTGACAATAAACCCAGTGTGGAGGATCTAGTGGACGCACTGATAGCACCCCTATATAGTGTGCATACAGGTCCTTCACATTTACAATATATTCAGCCTGATTCTTTTTAAGCTTGTTTTACCTCTTTTGTCTTGGTGGTTTTGTCCAATCCTCTGCCAACATGATTAGTGAATCAGCCATTGAACATGTTGGGTCAGGATTAATAAACAAGGTTACTTCTTGTGGTTAGCAATGAGGAAAGTACTCTGTGGCTTGATATGTGAAACTGCACTCCCGGTGCCAGTAAATGACTCAATATATTGCTCTGTTTCCCTGTTCACCTTCACTCTGGAGTAGAACTTCTGGAGAGTTTACAACAACATACCCGGTGTCTCCAGCTTACCACTGAGATGTAGCTATCATCTGATGAGAGGAGAAAGGAAACCACTCTGGTGAGTTTGGCTTAATGATTAATGAATGTAAATTGCATGTTCAGGCATAAAATACCTGATATTACTTGCTGGTTTGCACACAGGGAAGAAGAAAGCAATGCTAAAGGTGGTGTTTGGAAAATGAAAGTACCCAAAGAGAGCACTGTAAGTGATGTATAATATTCATTATTTGCTATTTGTGTATCAGTTCTTGCTGCTGTAATGGCTCTCTTTTGTCTTCATATTTTTAGTCTTCTGTATGGAAGGAGTTGCTGCTGGCTACCATTGGAGAACAGTTCAGTGATTATTGTCCCTCAGGTAAATTTTTTCACCGCTCAGGTTTTAGCAAATAAATCATTGCTGTTATTGTTCTGTATAATATCTGAACAATACTCTAGTTCTGAGATTCATAAAAGTCATACTCTATTGCTGTTCTTGCAGATGATGAAGTAGTCGGTGTCAGCGTCAGTGTGAGAGACAGAGAAGACATCGTTCAGGTCTGGAATGGAAACGCTTCCTGTGCTACTGATTCAAACATCTTAGGAAGGATCTACGAGCTTCTTCCACAAATACCTTTCAAAGCAGTGTTTTACAAACGTGAGTATTTTTCTTTGAACGTTAACAATTATGTCTCAGGTTTATGTAAATGGATTGATAATAACACTACATAATATGACATCATTGTTCTTGTTTTCTTATATTTCAGCACATGAGCAACACCACGCTTTTGAAGGAGGTCGATCAAGACATTAGCACATTTTCTACACCCGAACCCTCCAGACACACAATATTTTTCCTTGCTTACGAACGTGTTGCGGACTGTGATACATCGGCAAATTTTGATGCTGTTGAGTTCATAGTTGCTTAATGTATCATCTTAATTACCTCAAATGGAGCCCATGTATTATGAAGCTCAGCCGATGCAGTTTCACATCTTCTGAGCACTACTGTCATTCATACTGATTTCCCAAATAACTTTTATTTTAGCTAAAAGCAAAAACAATTTTAGTTTCATTTTATCAATAGTAGTTTTTATATGTTTTTATACTGCATAGTTTTGCAAAAAACCTTTAATGAAAACAGCAGATCATTGTTTAGATGTATTAACAACAATATCATCGACCTGCAGAGCTGGAGCGCCCCTTGTCCCTGCCCCCACCCACCGTTTTAGACCTTTTTTACTTTATACTTATTGTCTGTGTTTTTAAAGGAAACACAAACTTTAAGAGCATTTGTTTGACCTTTATTTGGGCAGACAGCCAAGGAAATCTGAGTGACGGATTTCGAGTGCTGCTTAAAGCCGTTCACGATTATGCCACCAGTGTCTCATAGAGTGGTAAAATTCAGTTTCAGCCTAGATGATGTTAATATGAATTCTCAGTTTCCTTTTCTTAGTGGGTCTGGAGCTTGTGCCTGTGTAAGTCTAAAACGGTAGCTGGCATGGCTCACACACGTGTTGGTCTAAAACAGTGGGGGACAGAGCCTCTCTGGCTGAGTATGTGTCTGAGTCTGTACTAAAGTATATTTTGAGCAGTTTTTTGAGCACAGATAAAGCCTGGCCTCCAATATAAATACTTTTTTTTATCTATAAGTAGAGAACTAGTTCCACAAAGCAAAGCTTTACCTTAACAATACATTACAAGGCTTTTCTAGTCAGCTCTCTTCTCTGTTTTGTATGTCACAGCCAAAACACTGTTGCCTATACAAGAGAACATAAATATTTAGTTTGCTGTAATGCTAATATGTGAACAGAAAATTGCACATTCTTTTTTAATTGTTTTCTTCGTTAGGTAATGAGTGAGTTATTAGTAGAATATGTTTTTGTCACGTTAAAATGACCTCAGTACACAAACTATCATGAGTAGATGCTGAGAAATATATGCAATCATTTCTATTCTGTAGATCAAACTTGCAGTGTTGTGGATGTCCCAAATAAAGCACTTTGTTTCTTACTGTAACTGTATATGACATCAGAGAGTCCCTCCAAGATTATATGGAGCTGTGGCACCTGAGACCAAATACGCTTTGGCTTTGTGTCACCTTTTTCTGATGACGTGTAAAACAGTTTTTTGTTATGAGTTATGATTTGTTTGCTTTTAGTACTAATTAATATTTTTGTATTCATATGACCTGTGTTAAAACCCTACATTCGGAAAGCAGATAAAAACTAATTATCTCATGACTCAGAGAGATCTGTCACATGGGGCACAAAAATAAACCTGTTGCTCTTTTGTGGGTATTTTAATGAGTTTGTACAATTTGTTGAGGTCATGCAATCAGTGCAGCAGGGTCAAATCTGTGTGAAACATGTCATCAGATGGTTTTCCACTGCTGCTCCAAAACAATTTCAGTGTCCCTCAAATCCATAGCTTGTTTTCTGTGTTCTTACATGTAATGGGTTGTATATGTGTTAATGAAATTTAGGAAGTTAAAGCATTGTACAACTCACCAAAGGCGCCTTTCCTGTGTGTTTAGGTATTAAGTGTATGACTGATGGGGTGAGAATGTCGATTATAGGCTGCAAAGAACAGAGCATAATTTCTTTAGTGGTTGTAAAAAAAAATACTGAGACATTTTAGAGTAATCTCAACAGAGATATGGAGTATGCATTGAAATGCTGCTATGATTCATCAATAAATCAAATATTTAATTATTTAAAATGCTGGTGTCTCTGCTAAAGTCAATTCACAGAGTTAGTTTTCGCACCACTGACTTTGCCAAGCTTTCTTTTGTCGTCTCTGTATTTTCCTTTTTTCATGTAATGATTTTTTAAACAAATGCAGTACATAAATACACACAAGAGAAGAAACCACACTGTCCCCCTGCACATATACAGACCTTGTAACCGATTGTTGATCTTAGACTGTGCCTTGTGTTTACCAGCAGTTCAGAATGTTAATGTCACCTGTGTTCATGTTGGCATGTTGGACTTTTATCATGTGTCTCTGTTAAATTGTACATGTGTTTGAAAAATAAAGTCACTGAAAGCTCTACATGTTGTTGTTGTGAATAGTTGCGTAACGAGGATATCAATACTGGGGGAAAAAGCATGTTTGATTTGGACTGTCGGACCATGTTTTTCTAGAAACTATGGCCAGGTCAGATGGTGTTCATGGGGTTGTTCATTATTTCCACTTATTGTAATTATCAAGGCATTGCATGACCGTGATAATAACATTGTCCATACTGAGCCTTTGAAAAGCTTTGATTTCACATAGAATCAAGTCAGAAGGAAACCAATGCTTCATGACAACCAGCAAGAAAATACCTCCCTCGTGTGGCTGCCTACAAGTATTAACACTAAAAATAAGAATATAACCTTCCTCCAATACAAGGATTGTATCTGTCAACAATGAACTATAATTACTGATCATATGTAGGAAAGAAGCAAGGTTATTTTTTTGTCTCTTATCTTATTTTTTTGTTTTGTTTTGCATATGTTGACCTTAGTTGCTTATTATTAAAATGTATTTACACAGTAAACAAGCCTATTTTGTTCCCCACTAAAGAGAAGAGCATATGCACCCCAAGATATACGTGATAACTCCTC